GGAACATTAGATCGAACTCGCTGAACTTGATTGCCCATTTTAGCAGGCGTCCTGATGCGTCTGTTTTCTGCATTACCTGTTTTAGAGGGAAATTGCTGAGAACTTGTATTGAGTGGGCTTGGAAGTATGGCCTCAGCTTTATTGAGGCTGTGATAAGGGTAAGTGCCAATTTTTCCATGTCTGGGTAGCGTGTTTCAGCTGGGAGAAGTGCTTTGTTGATGTAGTACACTGGCAATTGGCGCTCATTTTCTTCCCTGATTAGGACTGCGCTGACTGCCACGTCCGAAACCACTAGATACAGCAGTAGAGATTCATCCGGTTGAGGTTTCGACAAGAGGGATGCCTCTCCAAGGTGCTTTTTCAGAGCCTCGAAGGCTTCTTCACACTCCGAAGTCCATTGGAATTTCTTTCCTTGCTTCAGCACTTTGAAGAAAGGTAAGCTTTTATCTGTGGCTCTAGAGATGAAGCGACTGAGTGCGGCTATCCGACCGTTAAGACTTTGGACCTCCTTCGATTTTTGAAGTGACCTCATTTCTAGCAAGGCTGTTACTTTCACTGGATTCACCTCAATTCCTCTCTGATTTACAATATACCCCAAGAACTGGCCCGATGCCACTCCAAAGCCGCACTTGAGGGGATTCAATTTCATATTATACTTTCTAAGTATCTGAAAAGTTTGGTCGAGGTGACTCACGTGTTCGGTTGCCTGGAGGTTTTTGACCAACATGTTATGTACGTAGACCTCCATGGTTTTGTCAATGAGTTCGGCAAACATCATGTTGACTAACCTCTGGTATGTGGCTTCGGCATTTTTCAATCCGAAGGGCATGACTTTGTAGTAATAAAGACCCTGTCCGTAATGAACGATGTAGCTTCCTCATCAGGTCGGAACATGAGTATCTGGTTATACCTTGAGTATGCATCCATGAAACTCAGTAGTTCATGCCCAGCAGTAGAGTTCACAAGTTGATCTATTCTTGGAAGTGGGAAACTGTCTTTGGGGCACGCCTTATTTAGGTTTGTGAAGTCCACGCATACCCTCCACTTTCCACTGGGCTTTTTCACCAGAATCGGGTTGGATATCCACCTTGGATATATGGCCTCTCTTATGAAACCACTGCGGCTAAGTTTGTTTACTTCGTCTTTCAGTGCCTCATACCGTTCCGGATTTAAGGCATGCCTCTTCTGTCTATGGGGGGCATAGGAGGGGTTGATGCTAAGGTGATGGCAACTGATCCTAGGATCTATTCCTACCATATCTTCATGTTTCCATGCGAAGACATCTAGGTTCCCTTTCAGGAAGCGTATCATCTCAGCTTTTGCTTCAGGTGACAATGACTTCCCTATACGCAAGACCTGACTGGGGTCTTCCGGGTTGACGGGGAAAGTTTCCAATTCTTCCATTGGGGTCGCATTTGGTTCAGAGTCAATTATTCAGGGGTCTAACTCATCAAGAGGGTGTCCTTGTTCAGGGGCCTCTTCTATGTCGATGTCTCCTTCTTGTTCGGAGGTATGCCCTTGTTCATTTTCATGTCCGTACCTTCAGCAGGTACCTCAGGTAGGATTACATTAACAGTTCGGGGCTTGGACTTTCGTAGCGAGTTCAGGTAGCATGCCCTGGAGCCCATCTGATCGCCTCAGACCGTAGCAATCCCATGTTCGGTTGAAAATTTCATGCACAAATAGTAAATGGACGTGACAACCCAAAGATCTTTCGGAGCGGGTCTGCCCAACACTCCATGATAAGCTGATCTGTGATCTACCACCAGAAATTCCATGAAGTTCTGGCCACTAGGGGTGCCGAACCCATTTCGACTGGCAGGGTGATCCGCCATCATGGGATGATGCTGTCCCCAGTGAATCCGAATAGTGGGTCGGTCATGGGGATCAACCCATGTTCAATTTGCATTTTGTCAAAACTGGATCCAAACAGTATGTTCACGGAACTGCCATTGTCAATGAGCATGCGTTTTAATCCGTTTCTAGCTAATACGGCTCTTACAACCAATGCATCACAATGGGGGTGGTGAACTCCTTCTGAGTCTTCCTGGGAGAAGGTGATTGGGGTCATCCTGTTTGCTGATTTTGATTCGTTGACAATGTAAGTGATCATTGGGGGATCCTTTGCTTTTCTTGTGTAATTTCTCTAGGCATTCCTGGTGTTGCCACTGACGTGGGGTCCCCCAATGATAGTATCGATTTCCCTGATGACCTGGCTTCCAGAAAATTGGGCTTGATTTCCCTGTCTGGATTGGCCTTGGTCCCTTGATTCTCTTCTCCGAAGATATTATTCCCTGTAACCTCTCCTTCCCTTCCTCGGGGAGGCGGATCTGCGAGGGTGTTCGTTCCTGCTGGAAGTGTGCGGGTTGCTTCGATCAGGGCGTCGATTGGCGTCACGACAGTCACTAGTGTCATGTCCATATAGTTGATTGAACGTACAAAACCTTGCTCCTTCCAAGGTCCGTTTGACCTCTTCTTCTTCTTCTTCTTATTGTTATCAGTTCTTCCAGATGGTCCCGCTTCGACAGGGGCATTATCATATGCCAGCACCGGTACTGCATTCAATGTGGCGGAAGCTAGGGTCTATCAGGATGTGGGAGCTATGGTATGTCCTGCTTGGGTCCATTACTGAGTAACAAGGTGTGCTGCGAGTCCTCGACCTACCTGCCTCTGAGGAGGAGGAAGTCCCTGCGCGGCACGATTGCGATGATCAATCATTTCTTCACTAACAATTTTCACTCTCATCATTTCCACCAGCTCGTCATATGTGGAGGGATTCTTGCTGCGTATGTCCCTTCAGAGCAAAGTGTTCATGTTGAGCCCACCTTTCAGGGCTGAAAGAGCTTCTCTGTCAGTGACCTGTTCGCAGTAAGTAATTTCGTCTGTAAATCTAGCGAGATAGCTTTTCAGCGTCTCTCCAGGGGCCTGCCTCATGTCTTGCAGGCGTTGAACTGGTGCCTCTCCTTCCCTGCGTGAGAAGTACTGGTTTAAAAATGTTTTCTTCAAATCTGGCCAACTTCTGATGCTTAGGGGAGGAAGCCTGTTGTACCATACGTCAGTGGCCCCACCTAGTGTTAAATGGAAGGCTCTACATTTTAGAGTAGGCGAGGCTCCCCTTAGGCTCATCTGTGTCATGTACTTGGTGAGGTGCTTCTCCGGATCCCCTTTTCCTTCATACTTGGGGATTTTAGGGGGCATGAAATTCGCTGGTATTGGGAAACTTCGGATCTCCCTTGAGAGAAAGGGAGGTTATCATCATCATCGTCAATCTCATAAGATCGACAGGGCCCATCTAACCCTTCATCATCTCGGATGTCCTGGGGAGGTAGAGGTGCTTCTCCTCGACTTCCCCAATCGACTAGGTTCCTCCTTTCTCTCCTATTTCTAGGAAGAGGAGGGGGAGCATGTTCTTGTTCGTGATCCGGACGAACTGATCCTCTTGTTGGGCAGACCCTATTGCTAGGATCCTCCCCTATCCGGTCGAAGACGCTTACCGACCTTTGGTTCTCATGTTCCTGAGGGAAATTGTCCCCCAAGCGTGGTTCTGGTGGCTGACTCCCTTGCACATAAGATGTAGTTTCAGCGTTCATCTCCCTTTCGAGGGGACGTTTTGTGTGCCGGCTCATGTGGCCTCGGGAGTGAGATACAGGGGCTTCCCGCACCGGATAAGATCCTTGAGGCATTTGATAGCCCTGATGACCCTGGGCTTGCATGAGGAGTTCCTGCATTGCCATATTCTGAGCTGCTATGTCTCTCATACCTGCAGCTATTTGAGTCATTCCTTTAGTGAGTATGACTGTTCTTCCACCTCGACGACGCCGGTGATGTGGTCTCTGATGAGTAACATTGTTATGGAGTACCTTTTCTTCAGAGGCCTCTCGCATGGGGTTGTCGTTTTCATGGCTGTAGCTCATCCTACCTCTTTTTTCAAGGGTAGTGAGAACTTGGATTATAACTCGACTTTGTTCTTTTTCAAGAATGTCTCATTTTCAGGGTTAGTCGCTAATTTTCCGGTAACTTCTCCGATGGAGAACGCAAAACTTCGAATGGGGAGTGATTCCCATAGACGGCGCCAATCTGTTGACCTCGAAAATTGGTCCTTCCACGTGGCCAACTGAAAGTTACTCCACGTGTTCCTCCCTGCGCACAATCAGCGAATAGTCAGACGCACACGGCCGGAACCAGTGGGGGTGGTGACGGCCGTATACACTTCGACAGTCAAGTCAGGTTTAAGTGGTCGGAACAGTACCCAGGGGCTATGCAAATCAATGATAAAGGGGGAGGAGAAAATATATAAGCTTGCTATGGAGTGCTATTTAGTAAGAGTTTCATTACCTTTGCCTCTTGTCAAACTTTGGGTATTTATAGGTGGTACGAACCGTTGGATGTGGGACGCGTGTATACATCTGGCGGTATGAGGTGCCCGTTCATAGGCGTCAATCAGCCGCGTCTGTAGAGTGCACGGACAGTTTGTTTCTTTTGAGTTGAATTGACATAAAGTTGATAAGTCACATCAACTAACTTTATGGAGACGTCAAATAAATTTAAACCTTAGGTGCAGGAAGGATCTTGGAACAAATTTCTTTCTGAAATTGGCGGTGGATCTTCTAACCGGGATCCACTTGGTCTCGGCCTTGGGGGTGAGGTGCTTCGGCAGGTCAGTAATAGGAATCGCTTGTATTTCGGCAGGTCAGTAGTAGGAATCGCTATATCACTTCGGAAACTTTTCGGACGGGTCTTTTATCAGGTCGGAATATGTGGTGCTGCGTGTTCCGAGGCGTATAAGATCAAAGCGTAACAGTATTGCTATTATAATAAAATTGAAATCTGTGGTAAAGATTTCCTAGTTAGTAAAAATGGAAAAAAGTTGGAGTTCACGTGTGATTGAAATTTTGATTTTTTTTTTAATTTTTTATTATTATTATTATTTTTTTTTTGTGGGAAAAGTTATGCCAAACAAGGCTTTGATGATTTTGAACTGATTATTATCTTAAAATAATGCTTTTCTGATAGGGTTGCACTGCACAACATCTAACACCTTCTATGCATACTGTAATAAGATTTTCAGACGAGTTGCATTCTCAATCCGGCAAATTTTGTTCTCGCTAGCAAGTCAAATTTCAGGCAATTAAATTTCAAGTAATTTCAGCTTTTATTTTCTTACTCGTGCTAGATCTTCGTGTCATCCGTAAAAGCAGTGTTATTGTGCTGTAATGGCGGTAATTAAGAGGAGCTCGCTCTAGTTTTTTGTCTTTTTGTTTGAAACTTTGGATTTCATTTTGATTACCGTTTGTGTCTGATTTATTAGTGAACTTCTGAGTTCTGATTTGTTCAATTGTGCACTTATAATTTTGATCTTTCCTGTGCAATAGTTACAATAATTCAGAATGTAAGTTGCGAATCATGTTAAGATTAATTTGACGATAATAAGAATCTGAATCATAAACCGGAGTAGTATTTTCTACACCAGTTTTTGGACAGTCGATCTGTCTCTCTTCCTATCTCTCTATAATAAATTTTTTAGGATTGTTTGTGGACAAATTCTTTCTATTTCGTGAGAGGAAATAAGGATAGAATTCAGTAAATTTGAAGTATTAAGTTTGAACTACAATTTTCCTGGTAGGGACTCAGTGGAGCAAAACAGTTGAGATTTGAATCGATGCAATTTGTTCTCTGTGAATTTTAGAATTGGGTGATTCTCCTACATTGATATTAATTAATTAGTTAAAACTGAAAGTCGTTTTTTCATATTCTAAAATTTAAAAAACCCAGCGCAGGCGTGTTTATAAATCACGTTTGATGTTATGAGCTTGATCTATATTTGGAATTAGACTTGTACGAATTTCTCTTGCTATACAGAGATTTCCCACACTGCCACCCCTTGGAATGGCAAATCTTGGTGAAAATTCCTTAATGACAGGACTGCTAAGTCCTGCATCTCAAAGGAATCAAAAAGCCGAACCGAAGAGAAAAAGAATTCGTCGATGTAGAAGTGCTCCTTTGGCTGAATTTGTTCCCGGTGATTTGAATGGAAAAAATGAGGCTACAATGCTTCCTCGTTCTGAATCCTGTTTGGACAAGCTACATCCCAGTTTCAAAAGAGTAGCCATTTTCTTGACATTCTACTTGGTTATTGGTACTATTTGCTTTTCCTTTGTTATGGAGCAGATCAAGGGAGAGAAAATAAATGAAGTCCTTGATGCCGTTTACTTTTGCATTGTCACAATGACTACTGTTGGATATGGAGATCTTGTGCCCAACAGTGTCGCCACAAAACTGCTAGCCTGCGCTTTTGTGTTCTCAGGGATGGCTCTAGTTGGTCTAATCCTTAGCAAAGGCGCAGACTACATAGTAGAGAAGCAGGAAATGCTTCTTATCAAGGCATTACGTATGCGCCAGAAACTTGGTGCAGCTGAAATTCTTAAGGAGTTGGAAACTAACAAAGTACGGTACAAATGTTTAACAACGATGGCTTTTCTTGTAGTGCTCATTCTAGTTGGGACAGTCTTCCTTGTTACGGTTGAGAAATTGGATATTGTCGATGCCTTTTATTGTGTCTGCTCTACCATCACAACATTGGGATATGGAGATAAGAGCTTTTCGACCAAGGCAGGACGTGTCTTTGCTATGTTTTGGATTTTGACTAGCACTCTCTGTATGGCTCAGTTCTTTTGTTACATTGCCGAATTTAACACAGAAAGCAGGCAGAAGGCTTTGGTTAAGTGGGTTCTTACCAGGAGAATGACAAATGTGGATTTGGAGGCAGCAGATCTCGACGACGATGGGATTGTAGGGTCAGTGTTTTATAACTCCCATTTCTCTGAGTTCTGCCAAAAAAACAGGCAAATTTCCATTGACAGTTAAAAGAAAAATTAAACAAAGAACTGCCAAGTCAGATCCTGGAAAAAGTGCCCTGTCATTCAGCCTGTTTCTTCTGCTTTTTCCCATTTCTTTTGTTTCTTTTATTTACTTGACATTTGGCTTTTACGTTCAGTTGAATTTTTTTTTTTACCTAAAATTTGTATTTCTTATGATGCTTTGCTAACAGGGCTGCTGAATTTGTCTTATATAAGCTAAAAGAAATGGGGAAAATTAATCAAGAAGATATTTTGCTTGTAATGGAAGAGTTTGAAAGCCTTGATGTTGATCAGTCTGGAACTTTGTCACCCTCTGATTTAACGCTTGCACAATCAGCTCAAACATAGAGGTAAAGCTGCTGAGATTCTACACTGTTCAGTAATTATATATATATATATATATATATATATATATATTAATGTTTGTGCTGGAAAAATAGTAACACCTTTTGAGCCGTGTCCCAAATTTCCTTGTAAATTAAGTTATAACTTATTAAGATTATTCATATAAAAACATATATGCTGTGAATTGTGATGACCTTGAGAGTTGAGAGAGCTATGTCTTGTGGTATGTTGTTAGGACAAACAGATGAATTTATTATTTTTTCCACCCGAAAATCTGATTTAACAATAAAAATATATGGAGATCCCTCTCTTTGCGACAAGTATACTGCATAGAGACAATAATTAGTAAAAATAGAACAAACGACATTTTATAGTATCTAGAAACATACAGGGCACCGAAAAGAAGAAGAAAGTGTACTGTTCAATAAGCATACATCGCAGGCTGCTTCATATTATACATACACAATTGTTTCGCGCGGGTTGTCGCTAACAATTAAAAAGGGATCAGATGATTGTGTAAGGAACAAACCTCTTGAAACAAAGTCCCAAAAAGGGGTGTTTTATTGGCGAAGACTTTACAGTTGGAACTTAAACAGAATGCCTCTAAGGGGCGCAAGCACACGAGTACTGAAAAGAAATGTTTAAGTCTAAATTAAGAAATTGAAATTACATATTTTCTGTTTGAGAGTGTTTGATTCAGGGTCCTTTTGCTCTATGTCTTTTCTTCCTTTTATATTCCCTAGATGATCTCTTCGTGATCAACCGCTTAGAAACTGCTTAATTGCTTTATAATTGCCCACTTTCTTCATGGTGGCCAATTTATCGTGGAACTGCCGTCTCTAACTGCTGTCACTACTCTTTGTCGTTCAACCGTCTTCAACTGAACATCCTTGAATTGTGGAACGTAATAAAATTACTTAATAATTGCTTCGATAATTGCACTTTTGAATAACCATAACATCTTATATTTGCTAAGATCCTGGGCGATTCAAAGGTTTAGGCGAGAACAGGGTCATAACCCTAAGCGACTGCAAGGCATTTTATTCGCTCAGATCTTGGGCGTCTTGCAAGTTTGGGCGATGGTGTTACCGCATTCGTGGGCTTCCACTGCATTCATTAGTAACCCTATTTGGGCCTTTATCCTAAATTGTCCAGTTGGGCTTCATTCTTTGGGCTATTCGATTTGGGCTGCTCTAGCGTGTCAACAATTACCCCTCAATATGACAGAATTAATACCAATTATTAATTTTTGCCATATTCATTTTGTGTTTTTCAGCAACATTTGAAATTTTCAAGAATTTCAATCATTATTTTTTTCCATAACCTGAAAATGTGCGACGTTGCAAACCCTTATAACCCCCAAATACACGCTATTTCATCGTACCACTAAATCACGCCTCATTATTTCGCGCTTCTCTCTCGCAATATTACTGTTCATCTTCTTATTTCTCTGCTATGTTTCTCAAGCAAACTTTAACAAAACTTTATTTCGTTCCCAATGGCTGCTTCACAATCCCAATCTGGTGACTCTTTCAGTTTCGAAGACTTCCAGAAAATTCTCACTCGGCCATATATAACTCCGAACTTTCTTGCACCAGCCAATGCCGAACTCAATAAGTTCTATCTAGGTCCTTCATTCAACAATGTCGAGACCGTCGAACACGTGGCGGTGGGCCAGTTGTTCCCTTGTACTTATGGCCCTCCATTTCTAAACTCTTTGCCGCTGAGACCGCTTCGCGAAAGAGGCATTCGCACTTGGCTTAAATCTGATGTTGTTTTCGGTAGATGACATGCTCGCTTTGTGGACCATGGTCCTACCAAGGTAATTTTTGATAGTGCTAAAATTTCTGATTTGTTAAAAATCTCTCTTCAACCCCCTACTTTTGATCCAGCGTTTTTCCTATTGCTTTAAGTTTTTGGTCCTTTGAGTATAATACTTTTGTTTTCCCTCTTGGTCTCATGTCCATTACTTTAAGGGATGTTGGAGTCTTAGTAAATCTGCCACCTTTGGGTGATACCATTTTCCCTGACATTTTGATTTCTGGTGTCGCCCCAAAATTTGACAGAAAACTCACCGAGTCTTATTCAAGCCTGCAAAACTGTTATAATCACTCGAGCGCTGAGCCTTCTCATGCTGAGCGTGTGGCCTTTCTTCATATTTAGCTTTGTAAATATATTCTGTGTGTGCCAAGCATGAAACCTTCTATGAGCTATTTATCCATAGCGCACGAATTGGCGCGTGGTAGGCCTCTGAATTTGTGTTCTTTCTTTTTGGCTGCCCTCTATAGAGACATGGTTTCTCTCCAATTCCAATTGAAGAATGGTGCATCTCCCATTGACAGTGAGCCTCTTTGGTTCACTCAAATGTGGTTGAGAGCCTATTTTCCATCACTTGGTGCTCTATCGTTTTCCCTTCATTCTGCTAAATTGCTATGGGCTAGCTATTGACCCACTGAGCCCTGTAAATATGTTCAGAATGGACATCTTTTCATTCTTTTATACTTTGAATTCAATTCCTTCTTTCTTTCCTTTTCCTCCCTTTTTAACTCCAGATTATGTGCAACCCCCATCCACCCTGGACAGTGCGAGCACCTCTCTGCTCGTTTGGGTTCAGTTTTTAATCGGGAGGGAGTTGTTTCATGATATTTTGACTGGAACCAATGCCAAAAATGGGATTGAAATATATGCTCCCCAATTTTTGGCTCGTCAACTTGATTTTGGCCAAACTTGGCCTGTTCCCCCTTGTTATTCAAGAATTTGATAGATCGCTTCCACATCATTAATAAGGCAGAGGCAGAAGTTATAGATACTCGCAATATTCTTTTGACGAGTAACTTTTCATTAGCCCCCTTCAATCCTAACCATGCCATCCATCCCCTTCTTGAACAACTCTGGTCATCAGTGAAGCGCAGATTGTTTGCAACTGATGCCAATCGTGCTTTCCATTCACTGGATCAGCCAGACATTTCTTCCACTTCTCCTGTTTTGGTCACCCCTGTGTCCATTAGGAGTCCTTCCTCTTCTACTCGTACTAAACAGTCTATTCGTCCATCTACTTCTCTTCCTACCAAGCCCCCTGCAGCTAAAAGTGCCTCAAGCCGCAAACGGCCAGCCTCAGCATCTCCCATTTTGGAGGATGATGATGATGATGACACTCCTCTCATCGTTAGGAGAAAGGTAATTAAATTAGTTTACTCACAAGCATACATTTCTATACTTGAAACTTTTCTATGTGCTGATAGTTTATTCAGATTTCTCAGAAAAGTTCAGCCTCTCCTTTGAAGGCTTTGATGTTGACAGCTCCTGCTCCATAATCCTCTGCTGAGGCTGCTTCATCCAAATCAGCTGATGAAGGGACTACGCTTAAAGAGAAACCTTCAGTCCCGGAATCCTCATCACAACCAATGGATGAGCCACCTTCTTCCCAAGGCGTCAACCCCCCAAACATCGAACCAGAAGGTAATACATTTTTGATATTTTACCTTTGCTTGTGCTATTGGTTTTTGATTTGTTGCTTTTTGAATTCTGCAGATGCTTCCATGGGTTTGCCCGTTGTGGCAAAGTCTTCTCGCCCAGACAAGGGGAAGTCCTCACAAGTGGTGGAGCCACAGGTAGTAGACTTGGCTGGGGATATGCCACCTCCCAAGGTTGCTGATAAGGCAATCTTTGCTTCACTTTTACTTCCACTTTGTTTATTGTAGTGAAAACCTTCAATGTTGGCAATTTTCTTTGCAGGATGCTGATAAGATTGTGTGTTCCATTCAGGACTTGTTCACTTCCTGGGGGCAAGTCAAGACGTCTCGTCCTGTTTCAACCAGTCGTCCTTCTGCTTCTTCAGAGGAAGATATGAAGTTCCTCAAGCAGTCAATATTTGAGTATGTATCATTTATGGATATGGACATCGGTCAGGCTAGTGCTGCCAAACATAAGGATAAGCTTGAGCATTTGAGTGCGAAGTTGGCGCAAGCACTAACACTTCTGTCGTTCAATCTTTCTGCTGATTTTAAAGCGACGTTGAAAGTTGTCCATTCTGAGATTCTCTCCTTGCTAGCCAAAAATGTCGAATTGAAGGCCAAAAGTACTCAATATCTTCGCGCTGTATCTGAAAGAGAGTCTTTGCTTCTGGAGATCAACAAAGTTGAGGACGAATTGAAAGAAATCTCTTCCGAAATTATGATTGAAGACTCTTTGATGACCAGTTTGGCTGCACAGATGAAGGAGCTTCAAGCAAGGATGGACGACTGCAAGGCGAGAATGGCTGCTAAAAAACGTAATGCCTCCCAAGGAATTGAGCGAACCAAGTTTTTGGTCGAGCAGTAATTGTGAAAAAGAAAGAGAATGTCATTCTAAGTCTAAATTTGTGGCTTCTATATTCTTAGTTTTAATGATATATTCTGGATTTTTAATTTTAAAATCACATAATATTTTATCTTTTTTCCAATATTTTAAACCATTTTCTCCTATTATTTCAATCTTTTCTAATCTAGATATTAAATTTTCTATTTCTTGTTCTGTTATTAACATATCATAATTTTTTTCATTATCTACTAATTCTATAATTCCAAAATCTATTTCATCTTCTTCAAAATCAATTTCTTCTAAATTATCTTCTTATAATAATTGATATTCTCTTTCTTTTAATAGGTTAAAACTGCTGTTATTATAAGGCTGTTGAAAAAATGCTGTTTTTCTTAATTAAACTTAAATCCTACTCAATATGGTATGGGGGCTGTTAAAAACTGCTGTTGCTGTATGGCTGTTGAATAAATGCTGTTTTTCTTCATTAAACTTTAATCCTACTCAGCACTCCCCTTAGTTTATTGTAATTTTTTCTAAGAATTCTCTATAAATCCCTTAACTTATCAAGTAAAATATAGTAAAGATATTTGTGGTTACTTTGAAGAAGATAACATAGTAGGAACTTATAGTAAAGATTTAGTTGAAATTTTAGAAATTTTAAAAGTTGTTAGATACTTTCCTGTTGAAATAAGAGAAAATATAATTAAAAAGATATTAATTGAAGAATATAAACATATATATATTAGAAGAAGTTTGTAGTGAATTAGAATTTATATTAAACTGGAAACAAAAAGATCGTTAGATTATCTAGACTTAGATTTAAAAAATACCAGTAAAAAAGTACAAAAAGTAGATAATAATATAATTTAGTGTAATTTAAATAATAAATATAAATTACACAGTTTATTTTCAGAAGATCCAAGTCAGAATTGCTTGATAGATTTAATTATAAATTTATCAAAAAATTTAGAATCAGAAAATAAAAAGACATTTAATTATTT